CATTGTATTCAAAGATGGCAAGAATTAACCGTCCTTTTAGTAGCTGATTTTTTACTAGTCGAAAAAATTAAGATATTCTTTCTCTGAAAAATTAATTATTAGCCAAAAAAATTAAGGTCATCATGAACAATTTGAGTATGAATTTAAAGTTTATCGGCTCTAAATTTATTTACACGTGGTACATGATGTTACACAAGAAAATGTTTTGATTTTTAAGATTCATTATAATGTGTGATAATAAATTCTAAATTGTTAAGTGCGTAATTAATACATACATAAAATTTCATAGGAAAAATTGCGAGTTCGACAAATAGTGGCAAAGTTTAACTATCAAAGTATATTGATTACAACGCAATAGTTAGAAATTTGTGTACGTTATAATGCACAATTAAGCAAGAAATAAGAGTTCACTAACAAATAAGCATATTCATATTTGGTCAGTATAAAATTTGTGAAAGATATTACCTAGAAATATAACACATAAACGAATGGATATAAGTGTGTTCAGTAAGTGACGGAAACGGGTTTCTATTGTTCTCATAGTTAATAATAATTGACTTGTTTCCTTACTTACTGAACATTCTGTATACATACATTTGTTTAAACCGATTATTAAACACAAACGGATATAGGCAGCGGTGCTGATGGTGGGTAAACGATTTTAAAAATACTACTGCTAGTCATAGGTATACAAAATAGTCAAATTAAATATATTAAATCAAAACACAATACACTTATTATTATTTTAAAGGTCGCAGTAGAAAATATCCGTTAACGACTAGCGTACGCGCAGTAAATTCTAAAAATAAATCACCCAATTTAGTAATATACTAATATTTTACCTTATGGACAACGCTGCCGGTCGTCCAAAACCTGTACATAAGATGGCAGCTGAACCCAACCCGCGAGCAACGATTGCAACGCCTCGCTTACAATATGCGTCTCAGAATATTGCTCGGACGACGCTGCCGGTCGTCCAAAACCTGCTCGCGTGTGTATGCGTCCCGTTTATACTGAGAGAAATAACTTTAATGTTCGCAAACCACAAATGTATTATAACTATTTATTATTTAAACATTTGCATTTTGAATAAAAAATATTTTTTAAAAATGTAGAGTTAAGAATGCACAATCAATTTTCTTCTTTTGATTAATTTTAGCATGGGGTGCGATGATCCCGTCGTTCAGACTACGAGACGCCATTGGATATAGGAATCATAAAATTAACGCATTTTCACATTTATCAAAAAAATTGAAAAATCGCTGTACCTAAAATATCATTTCGTTAAAATTCAATTGCCAAAGAATCATTATTCATGACAATAATTAAATTATCATGAATAATTCTACGTTTAAATTTAAATTGCTTTAACGTCAGTCATTTATAGACCAATTATTCATTTTATTTTATTGACGGTCTTTTAACTTATAAAACAGTTATATCACTGTTATAAGAGTTTTATATAAAAATAACATTTTTTTTTTAGAAGTATAGTTATTTTGATTTTAAATCTGTATAGCTTATTAAAAGTTTTTTTTTAATGTTTTAAAGTTATGAGATTAAGGTTAGAAAATCGAAATTTTACCAAAAACTTTATTTGTGAATTATTTTGTTCATTTCAGTTTAATACCGTTATTACTCTTTTAAATATGTAAAACTAGACGATTTTTTATTTTAAAGGAGACTCCACTGCTTTTTATAAAAATTATATGAATCTAATTTAATTTGATTATAAAGTTAAAATTATTTAAAATGTGTTGCCTCTTTTAAATCAAGGAAAACGACTTAGAAATTTTGATTTAGCTTAAATTGCCTTTTTATCTACCGTCTTATGCGATGTACGGTTGTCGCGTCCAAGAGAGATCAAGGTCTTTCAAACTACGGGTACGAGGGCTCAAACTTCGCCCGTCTAATTGATTTTCTTTGCATTTTTTTCTTAATTCTTTTAGAGTTGAAAAAAAATTAAAAATTTGTGTAATTTCATCTCGTTTAGATTGAATAACTTCAATGAATATCAAGAAAACCATCACTATAGTTTCCCATTGTGAGAAGAAATTTCTTATTATATTAAAATTATTTCTTTGTATGATTTTCATTTTGTATCTGTTTTTCGCAACTCTCATTTGACCAACTTTTTTCAACGATATGTCAAATGATCTCAAATCGTATCTAGTTGAAAATATTATGCTCAAAAATTAAAAGATTTCCACTTTGTCAATGAAAAAATTACTTTCTCTATGTAGATAATTAAAATCATTAATTTTTAATGTTTTTAAAATATATGTTTTCAAATTAAGTTTGTTATTTATTTATTTCCTAACTCTATTTGTCAGTCTATATTATTCCAATTTTTTTGGTAACATATTACTGTATAAATCATTTCGAAAAAAATGATTCTGAATTTAACAATGGATTTTTACATTTATAATAAATTTTTTAATATGCTCAATTTAGTAGATTTTTTCAACAACTTTTTGATCGTTTTTTTTTAATTTAAGTAAATCATTAAAATTAATTAAGTTCTGAATATTTCATTTGTAGAGGAATGTTGTGGCTGAGTCATTAACGTGGCAGTGCTTGACGCGCATTGCCAAAACTTCGAACTCGATCACGGGCGGCTTCATTTCCTGAGCGAGAGATCAGATAGGTAATTGAAATCGCCATCCATCTCTCCGACAACAGACAAACTACACGTCTCGGAGTATCAATGGTTAAGAAACCTCTTTTGGAGGAGACTGATATTGCCCTTAATGGAGGCGTTAAAAAAAAAATATATATATATATATAATAGGGTGGCTCTTATTTTATAAATTTTCATTTATCAATCTTCGTACCTGCCAATATTTTTTATTTTTATATGACAGCCATTTGAGTAAAATTTGGTTATAATAACTTTTACCTATTTCAAAAATTTTCTAAAATTATTTTTACTTGCTCAAAAAAAAAAAAATGTGTATATTAAAATATTAAAAATATTAAAAAAAGATTTACTAAAATTCACTTTTTGAACATAAATTATTTATAACTTTCGAAATAATCACTTTACAATAAAATGTTTAGCATAAAATATATGTAAAATTAAATTTTCTTAATTACTGGTCTTATGTAAATTTATAGTCTGATTTATTTTTGCTGTTATTACGAAATTTATATATACATTTACATTAAGTCTCTGCATGTTAATCCTATGAAATCACTTTAATATTATTTTGGTTTAAATAATTTTACGTATTTTACTACTTTTTGGATAAGTATATAATCTGTCATAATGTAATTAGTATCTGCTGATAGCGATATACTCTTAATACAAAATTGTAATATATCAATATAACAACCGGTTTATATATTCAGTGACTTCACTTTTATTTCTAATCGTAAATTATTTATGCGTGATACGGTATGTGCAGTGTAATATGTATGTTTTTCATTTACATCATATGTTGTGATAGTTTGAGGTGTGATTTATTTTTAAATGCGTTTGTTTTTATTTTATAGTTTTTTAAGTATAAGTTTATTTTTTGTTATAATTGATATGTACAATGGAAACAAATTTGAGACGATAAGTTATTCTTAGTGGGAATTATGAATATCTAGGTATCTGGTAGTAAATTACCATCAAAAAGAAATTGTTTAAATGTTTGGTATTATAATATGCGTAATTTTAATTTAAGTTATATGAGGGATCTTTAATAGTTGTGGATAAATGCATTATTTTCTAGAAAAAAGCTCAAATACCTACACAAGATCGCAATGATTGCGCAAAAAAGTTAGAAAAAAGCAAAAATAAGTAGGAGATGTGTATAGAAGCAGAGAAAAAAAATTTGAAGAAAGTTTATATAATTTATTTGACATAGCTTATGCTAATGCTCAAAATATGATTAAGATAAAGATTTTTCATTATTACAAAGACAAAAAGGATGTGTTAGCTGCATCCTTTGCAGAGATTTTAAGTTAACCGAATAAGAAGAACAAAAAATTAATACGAGAAGACGAAGAATTAAAAAGAAAAGAAAGATACCAGTGTACAGAACACATTAAATCTGGTATAAAAAATGTTGAATTGAAGTGTTCTCCTGTCAAAGGATATATACTGATTTTTTTGGATCTAATTGACAATGTTTACTTTTGATCTAAAAGTATTTTTTGTGACTTGAGTAATATTTTTATAATAATAACTTATGATCGAATTTTTATGATATATTGGCTTTTTTTTAAAATCTAAGAATATACAAGGAAGTTATGTGCGCTTTTTAAAAAAATGTTGATATAAATTTCATATAAAGATTACAACATGTCAACAACCTTATAATTTTTCTTAAGTTAATCTATAATAATAATAGAATCCATTAACTCAAGGTAGATAACAAATATCATCACTCGACTTCCTTCACATAAACTACTCATATATAGAGTGAATCAGATCTAACTTATAACTTTTGATCCAATTATTATTTCACTATAATGTTTTCCTAACAACATTGAGAGGATAAATATAATAATAGCATGTTTTTAAATAAGTTTTTAACAAATAAGGAACGAGGATTTGAGAAACAAATTCCGTTTAAAAATGAATTTTCCCATGACATATAGATATAATAAATATATACAAGTTATATTCTTGAATCATAAGGTAGTTTGTATAAGTGCTTGCATTCTTAATGAAAAATAGTAGTTTAAAGTTAAGTGTATTGTCGTTAGGATTTAATAATTTTTAGCTTTTCCCAAGTCATAACAGTAATTTACTCAAGAAAATTATCCAAAAATAAATCAATGGTAATTTTGCATCACTATTTGTGACACCCAATAATATTTCTTATTATTTATTTATGAACTAAGATTTTAAGATAAAATTTTATCCACAGACTATATAAAAATGTAGTCTATAATATATAATATAAAAAATTTTCATATAGTCTGTTTTATCTTAGTTCATAATATATTATCACAGATTAGATAAAAATTATCTAATCTGTGATATTGTAGTGATATAATTATTTATGGCATTGATTTTTAAATGATAATGAATAGTACAACAATTAGTATTATTTTTAGTCCAGTAATTCTTTAATATTAATTTAATTATGGCTATTGTTTTTAGTAGACCCGCATTTTGTAGAAGTATTTCGTATTTCTTATTGAATGATTATAAGGTGAGTTTCGTGTAAGGTCGACCACTGATTCTCTGTACCAATGGGTCGTACAGCGCGTTGTCGTCGTCGTCGACGAATATCTTGTTGTGACCGTCCTATTATAAGTTGCCAATTTGACTTCGTTGCTTTAATAACTTGGATGAAATCTCAAGGATGGAAACCGACATGCCGGTTAACTCCAGCATGTTTTAGTGATACTGGACGTGGATTATTAGCTGCCCAAAACATTAATGTAGGGCAATCATTAGCAGCTGTACCAGGTCATTTAGTTATAACTGTTGATTTAGTATCCATGTCGTCGATTGGTAAATTTTTTAACACTGTTTATAAAACGCAACAAGTTTTGGCTACATACTTGATGTTTGAAAATCATAAAGGGTCTGAATCTTTTTGGTATAATTATATAAATTCATTACCAAAAATAATATCAAATGCTGCATATTGTTCTACTGATAATTTACCTGATGATTTAATTGAAAAAGTAGTTGAACATCAAAATTATATTTTTAATACGTTCAAACAAATAACAATGGAGATGTCTACTATTACATGTTCTCACTGTTCCAAATCATTTAAAAGTATTTTCACATTTGAGTTGTACAAGTGGGCTTGGTCTATTGTGAATACAAGAGCTGTTTATGTAAGTCCAGATTGTAGTGTAAATAATAATATAAAACTATCAGATACAAACAATCTTGCTCTAGTGCCGTATATAGATATGTTTAATCATTCTCCTTCAGCATGTGTTCGAGCTACAATGAGTCAACTAAATGGAAAATATACAATTGTTACTGATACATTCTTTTCAAAACATTCAGAAGTATTTATTAATTATGGCCCTCATTCTAATACCAAATTATTTTTAGAATATGGGTTCATAATACCATCAAATCCTCAAGATTCAGTGAACTTGTCATCGAAAGAAATAATTACTAAAACAGGTAGATCTTTAGTAAAGCATCGGATGGAAAAATTAAGATCATTTAACTTATTGGATGGACATAATTGTACATCAGAAGGGATTTCTTGGTCTACCCGAGTATTAATATATATTTTAATATATTCAGATCGTATGAATGATGAAGAATTGAAAAATCGAGTATTTTCAAATTTATTTGATCAAAATGAAATTGATTGTGTGTCAAAAATAGGAGCTAAAATTATTGAAACAAAATTAGAAGAAACTATTCGATGGGAAAATAATATGAGCTTAATTTTAAAAAAAATGGGGGTTAATAAATGTTTTAGTTATACTGTCGCTTTGAAATTGGTTAAAGAGAATCGGAGGTTGCTTGAAAAATGTTTACAGTCTTTATATTTACAGTAATTGTTATTTTCAGGTATTATTACTTATGTATAAAGTTATAATTATTATTAATACTGACTGATAATAAATTTTTAATTTTGTTTACTTCTCTAAAGTATCATTAAAATTTTATTGTTATTTAATATTTAATAAAATAAAAATTTTAGTTGCCTAACAGGTATATTTAGAAATATTTGTATTGTTGAATTTATTAAGAATTTCAATGTTTATTTTTTGCTTTTAAATTGTATAATATTTTTATCATTATTTTTCATTTTTCCCAGTAAATATTATAATTTTGCATACAATTTTTCTCCTAAATTAACTTTTGTAATATTGAATTGTAAAATAAATAAAAATTATTACAATTTATAATAATGATTTTAGTAAATTAATAGTAAATATTTTGTTAATAATAATTTGCTCCTTATGTTACATTTCAATTAAATACTGAACTAAAATATTTATTTTTAGGCATTTTCTACAAGTTTAGTTAGTTGCAGTAATGTGTATAGCAATCAAAACAAAAATCATACTAAAACAAACAAAAAAAATAATTTAACATGTTATCATATTGGTGGTGCACATGTCAAAGAAAGTATGCCCGTAATGGAAACTAGTTCTGTTACGGGAAAAGAAATGATGATGGGTATGTTGCAATATATTTGGCCCAAGGTAATTATTTTCAAAACATTGAAAAACGAATGTTAAATTTTTGATTTTAATAAAATAAAATTTATATTAAAATATCATATTTTTGTTTATATAAAAAAATTCTTATAATATTACAAAATTTATAGAACGATTCATCAATTCGTAAACGCGTGACATTAGCAATGGGTTTATTAGCAACTGCAAAAATTTTAAATGTATCTGTCCCGTTTCTATTAAAATTTGCTATTGATGAATTAAATGTAAATATGGGTCCTGGAGGGGAAGCATTATTGACACTAAATACAGCTCCTGAAACAGCTTTTACACTTGCTACTACTTTGTTGATATCGTGTGAGTATGAGTAAGTTTCAAAATATTTTAGTATGTCATGTATTCATCTACTGAAATAATATTGATTTAACATTGAATAGTTTTCCAATAATATTTTTTATTTCTTAAAAATTTAAGATGGAGTTTGTAGAGCCGCAGCTGCTGGTATGAATGAACTACGCAATGCTGTATTTGCAAGTGTTGCTCAACAATCTATAAGAAAAATTGCAAGAAATGTTTTTTTACACCTTCATAACATGGATCTAAGTTTTCATTTATCTAGGCAAACTGGAGCTCTTTCTAAAGTCTGTTCACAATTTTATAATTAATTTTTAGTGTAATAATTCAATAACACATTGAACTATTCAGATTATTGATAGAGGAAGTCGTGGAATTAATTTTGTGCTTACAGCTATGGTTTTCAACATAGTACCTACAATATTTGAGTTATCTGTTGTCAGTACCATTTTAGTAAGTTTTTTTTATAATTATCATACTATTATATGTAAAGAGCACATTTATAAATTTTGTTAATTTATTTCAAACACATCAGCCAGTAAAATATTTTAGTAATAGGCTTGAAAACTTAGTAATGTAATCAAACTGGAGTTATAGTATTTGAGGTATATTTTCACCAAAACAAAAAATATTTTTAAGGTACTGTATATTCCAATGAAAAATTTGCACAAACTTGGGATATTTTAAAATGACACAAACAGAATTTATAAATGTATATAAATCCATTCTATAATTATTTGATTAGGATCTTTTTAAATATTGTTAATTTTAAAAGGGAATTAACTGTGGTTCTGAATTTGCTGCTTTGTCTTTTGGCTGTGTCTTTCTTTATGCTACATATACTTTGTTAGTTACTCAATGGCGAACTAAATTTCGGATTTATATGAATAAAGCTGAAAATGAGGCTGGTAATAAAGCCATGGACTCTCTGATAAATTATGAAACTGTTAAGGTAAATATATAAAAGTAAATATTTTAATATTCATAATTTATAACAATTATTTTCATTTTTCTTATAAACTAATAAAATTTTGAAGAACATAATCTTATTCAGAAAAATAGTGAATTTGCTTATACAGCTCATTAAAAAAAGGCAAGTTAAAATACTTCCTCAAAAGAGAAGGTACCTTAACCTTTTATTTTTCACATGGTCAACCTATTGTTGTTCACCCTGAATGTGCTGTAAGGCATTACTTCAGGGTAGCCAACATCGCAGTAAAACTAACACTATCATGTTGTGAATTAGCCAGAAATCAATCAAGAGCTGATTCACAATGTGGTGTGACCTCCTCTGTTAGCCAGACCCTGGAGTGGGGTCTGTTGTATGGGCTGTACAACGTGAAGGTGGGAATAGGGCTTTGCACAAATTGGAAAATAATACACAAATAAACACATAAAAACAAAGCTTAATATACCGGCCTAACCAGCATCTCAGGTCCTCCTGCACCAGAAGGAGTGGTTGTCTCTGTCTTAGGCATTCCCCAATAATGTACCAAAGTGGGTAATTTATTTCTATGAGCAATAAATTTTTAATATAAACTTTTTTAGAAAATATTAAAATATCATACTAGTATTTATTATTAAACATTAACAATTATATAACTATTAAGCATTAACAAAAAAATTTTAATTTTTCAGTATTTTAACAATGAGCTGTATGAAGCTAACAGATATGATAAAGTACTTAAAAAATTTGAAGCTGCATCTCTTAAAACTAGTTCTAGCTTAGCTCTTCTAAATTTTGGTCAAAATGCTATTTTTAGTATTTCTATGAGTGCAGCGATGGTATTAGCCGCCAAACAAATAGCTGAAGGTAGAACATATTTTTAACTTTTTTTAAAAAAAATTTTAAATTATAAGTTGAACACTAATAATATATAACAGTAACAACTCTTATTTAACAAAATAACAGTTTGCTGAATATTATATACTGCATTATATGTGCAAGAGGGTCTTGTAACAAAATCCATAATAGATGGAATTTTTGTATGATTCATAATAGTTTATTATTCTCTATCTAAATATGCCATTTATATAAAAAAAATTTTACCTGAACTTAATTTAAATTCTAAAAATAAAGTAATACGTAATGTAACTCTTATAAATGTTTGAAACTTTGATAATATTAACCTTAAAGTACTTTCATTGAGATACAGCCCTCTTGCAATTACAGTGCAATATTTCTTTGTTTACAATAAAAAAACCTTTTCTGTGCAAAATTATCAAAATGAGATTTCAGTATCTTTGAATGTAAAAAAAAGTATCTTTTATATAGAAAAATCTCTTATGTTAAACATTTATTTACTAATTAAATTTATAACAGAGTTTTTTATTCATTGTTAATTTATAGTAATGAATAAAGATGAAAAATAAAGTTTATACAGTCATTGTATTTTTATTTGGTTTCATTTAGGTACATGTTTTTCTCAATTTATCAATCATAAAGAAATTTTCATGTTTATTCCTTAAGGGCGTCAACTTTATTTTTAATCATACATAATTAGCTTATTTAACAGATATTGGTCTCATAAAAAATGGTTGATCAATAAAAACTTTCAGAAGTTATTGATATTTGTATACCTGGGTAGGAAGAAGAGTACAGAAATGACTAATTAATAAAATAACAACACCCATGTCTAATTATTATTATTATTACTCTCATTATACTTTAGAGAATGTTTTAATTATTAAGTCAATCTGTTCGATCATTTATAAACTATAGTTGGAAATAGATAAGTTATCTTTTATAATACACGAGTCTAATGATCTATTCATGAATTTTTGCGTTATTACAGTGGATTATTATTTTAATTACTATAAAAATAACTTCTAAATATTCTTGTTTTGTAAGCTATTAATAAAAATGTTTAATTTTGTGATAATTAATTTATGTATATTTTTTATACCTTATTCTATTTAGGTAATATGACTATTGGTGACTTAGCTATGGTAAATGGATTACTTTTTCAATTATCAATGCCTCTTGGATTCTTAGGCTCTGTGTATAGAGAAGTAAGACAAGCTTTACTTGATATGCAAAGTATGTTTGGAATAATGGCTTGCAATCCATCTATTAAGGTATTTAAAATTATTATCAATGATAAAATGTTTTAATATTTTTAATATTTTAATATTAGTTATACAATTTTTATATTTAGAATAAGGTGAATGCAATACCATTAAAAATTACCCCAGAAAATGCTTCAATTGAATTTCGAAATGTTAGTTTCGAATATCAAAATGGTAAACGTATCTTAGACGATTTGTCATTTTATGTTCCACCTCATAAAAAAGCTGCTATTATTGGAGGATCTGGAAGTGGGTAAGATATTAGAAATCCACGTTTTTTCTAATATAATCATAAAAAATATTTAATTTGATTGTATTAGAAAATCAACAATAATTAGACTAATGTTTCGATTTATTGAACCAATTTCTGGTGATATATTTATTGGAGGAGAAAATATAAAAAATATTGATATTGAATTATTACGAAAATGTATGGCGGTTGTACCTCAGGTGAATTAATTAAAACATAAAATCATATTAAATTTTAGGATATCATTGAAAGTATAAGAATAGAAAATATAAGTTTTTCTAATGTCTTTATTAATGTTAAAAAAGTATTATTTTGTATTTGTTGTACCAAGATGTTCTGTTCAAATAAATGTGTTGTGGTGAAATTAATTAAGAATTTGTTGCTTTTGACACAACATCTCTTATCTCAGTTTCATTAACTTAACAGAAGAAAAACTTATCTCTGTTATTTAAACTACATTGTATTATGTTCTTAATTTTTTATTTAGTGATCTTTCTGTTCACACTATTGAAAATCTAAGTCTATGTCTCCCCTCCCAAGGTAATGCAAAGTGATAGTTCCAGGGTGGTCTACAAAATTTTGTGAAAGAAAAAAGGTCTATGCCTCCTCATCATAATCATGAAAACTTATAATTCATAATTATAATTATGAATATTATTGATAATTCATTTTAACCAAAACATGAGATTAGAAGTGCTGCATCTTAAATAACAAATTATTAATTGATACAGTTCTTGTACTTCTGAAATACTGACTAAAAATCAACTCATGAAAATTACCATTTTTAGGCATACAATTTTATTTCTATTTATTATTTTTTATTTATAGGATACAGTTTTATTTCATGATACGTTTATGTATAATCTTCACTATGGAAATTTGAGTAAAACAGATGAAGATGTTATTGAAGCAGCCAAATTAGCCGAATTGCATAATTCAATTTTAAAACTTCCTAATGGATATTCAACACAAGTTGGTGAAAGAGGTCTTATGATATCTGGTGGTGAAAAACAACGTGTATCAATAGCAAGGGCTATTCTTAAAGGGAGTCCTATTTTAGTATTTGATGAAGCTACATCATCACTTGATTCTATAACTGAACAGGTAAAAAAAAAATAATAAATATGTTTTTTAGTTTCAATGTGAAACTGAGAAGGTATTAATTTTACCGTGATGTTTTCATTTTTTGTGTTTGATAGTGATTTTAATTACTGTTAGATATCATCTATACTTTTTCCATCTACGCCAGATCCCCACTGTGACATGACCCTATTGTGTTCAGTTTTTTATATTTATGTAATATATCAAATGTCTGTTATTATTTGCAGAATATATTGAAAGCATTACAAAGGGCTACAATAAATAAAACCAGTATATTTATAGCACATAAATTGTCCACAATTAAAAATGCAGATGATATATTCATATTAAAAAATGGTAAAATAGAAGAACATGGAACACACCAACAACTTATTACAAAATCATCAGAATATTTTAAAATGTGGAATATCCAACACCAAAACTCTTAGTCAATTTTTTTTTGTTTTGTTGTATATGAACCATTACTATTACACTTATTAATAATCAAATGAGTACTTATACTTGTTCATTATAAGTACATTGTTGTTTATAGTTATTATTAAAATTTGAAATTATTTATATGTCAACTGAAGAATAGTTTTTAATATTTAATTGTTTTAAATTATAATGCAGTCTACTTTATTTCAAAAACATTTCCAATTAAGCTTATGTTTTTTAAACTCAATATAAATATAAGAAATACAAACAAAAAAAGACTCAAGTTTTGTTTTTTTTATAGTAATTATATATCATTAGTTTTAATAATTAAGATGAACTTGTATCAAACCTGTATTTTGTACATTATCCATCATGTTCTGATATTTTCAATAATTTTTGATCCAGCTAATATTATGTATTACTTTATTTTTAATAATTTATATAGCTTCAAACTATGAAACTATCAAAACATATTTTTAATAATTGTTTCTAAAAAAAAAAATTTTAATTTTTTTTTCTCAAAATTATAAGTAGCTATTTTTTTTTGCCCTTTAATGTCAAAATATTATTTTTGTCTATAACAATTTTAGGAAAAGTAATTATTGATTTACAAGAATTTTAATACACAGAGTAGGTATGTAGTGCATAGAGAGTGCTCATACACCAGTATGAGCTATACTCACCCATGTTACATAACCAACTCACTGTATTAAAATGATTTTAAATCAATAATTAATTATTCTAAAGTTGTTATTGACTGATTTTTTGGAAAAAATTAATGTTTTGAAAATTCTTTTAACATATATTTTTTTTTTCATTAGACACAAATAACAAAAAAATATATGCTTTTAAGGTAGTCCTAAGCAAAATAAAAATAACACAAAATAATCACTGGATCAATAATGATTTAAGATGATAGAACATAGTGCGACATTCTGTAATGTATACAAATCTTTTTTAATTAAGTTTTAAATTCAGCTGATCAATACAAATTGAAGAAAAAACTTTTTAATTGTAAAAAAATTTGTGATAGAAGTTTAAAATAATATAAAATACTATATCTAAAAATATAGTATTTTTTACTTGAGCGAAGAGTCATTCCATGTGAAATCACCTAATGTCTGTGCTGGTATAGTTCAGAAATTTATATCATAGACTTCTTAGTCATTGACAACAAAAATAATATATATATTTTTTTAATATTGTTTTTTTTACCAGATAGCGCATTTTTTATAATTAAAAACATAAAAAAACAGCCCATGTTCTAGAACCTATAACTTCACAACCAAATAAGCCATCACTGTTTTAGTCATAGTAAATAGTACTTCAATTTCATTTTTAAGTTTATGCATTTTGAATTTTTTTGAACATCGCAATTTTGCAGTATTTTAATAGCAAAATTTGAAGATCAAAAAATTTTTTTTTCTTCAGAAACTTTTAGTTGTTTTTTTAACCCATATCATATTTGAATCGATTTATAATTTTTTTTGTATCGTTTTACGGTTTTGAACACGCGTGGTTTGCAAAAATAGCCAACTTTATCATCTCCTTACACAAAAGTGACTGAACGAATTTTTTTCAAATTTACATAGTACTACATAACGCTACTTATAGAATGTACAATTTTCGTATTATGGAAAATCCACTATGTAATTTTCAACGCTCAATTTTTATTTCTTGTATTTATTCTGTGTTCTGTAGTAGATTAAGTTATTGGGACTCGTAAAAAAAACCTAGGAGCAATGGCTAAGTTCGGAAAAGCTCCATTACTTTTCTTTATAAAGTTAATTACATCAATCATTCATAGATCATTACTTCATTGATGATACTCTGAGATCATATTATTTTATTCATTAATATCTTTTAGATACAAATATTTTTCTTTTGTTTACATTAAATGTAAAAAGAAAAAAAAATTTGTATGAAAAAAATGACTAATAAATTTTGTTAGTCTTTACATACCTATGTCATGTTGATTTTAATTAAACTGCTCTTAAATCTGTTACAAGTTCTTAATATTTTTCTGTTAGTTATTTTTCATTCAAAAATTATTCTATATACATGTCATAAAAAATTGTTTTTGGAAAATTAGCTTTTGAATAAATTTTCACTCGAATATTCATGTCATTATAAATGAATATTAAACATTCAAAATAATGATAGAATCGTAATATATAAATAGATAATATAAAAAATAAAAAAAAATGATTAAAATCAATTTGTATAATTGTCTTATTTTATGGTTTCAATTTATATACAAAGTCAATAATAATATATGTATATGTTTTTCTTTTCAATTTTATGCAACTATTTATAACATATTTATATAATTTTCTTACACAAGTTATTTATTACAGTATCTTTTCTAATAAACCAATAAACAAGTGAACCTGAATAATCAGAATGGTTTATACAAAAAAAAAAAAATATATATATATATATATATATATTTAGATATAAATTTTTTATTGGACTTAATTGTCTCATGTCTTTAAATGTATAACTTATATAATAATATATATATATATATATAAACATATATAATAATAATAATAATAATGATAATAAAAAACCTTAAGTTACAATATTTAAAGACTAAGGACAAACAAGAAGCCATACCAGACTTACTTATAGAAAAGCTGTTAAGGATTAATTTATTATGTATATATATAAAAAAAAATGAATAAATAAGTTGGATAAGACCTAAAATTTGTCATTTCCCCATTTTTATATAAATTATATATCCCTTAAAAAATATTTCTATATAATTATAATAATAACAGAATGTCTAGGAGTACAAAATTGTAAATAAAATATACAATTATAATATTACCATTATTCCTGTACAGAAGGAAAAATCAACAAATATTATTTTACTAAAGTAGGAAATTTATAAATGTTTACTTATAATATGTTAAAATATAAAGAAAAATATCCTTACATTTTTTCTAACTACATAACAACAACAAATAGCAAAACAAATGTACATGAGTTATAAGTCAACACGGCCGATTAAATAAGTATACAAAATTATTATTTTGTACTTTAAGCTACCATATTTACATTCATAAATGTACATATATAGAAACAACGCCTTTTAAAAATTCTCGATAAGCTCTTTTTTTTTTTTTATATACTTTATAAGTGCATTCGATTAGACATGTTTGATTGTGGTTGATTAGGTCCCTGAGGTCCACCTGGTTGCTGCTGTCCTTGCATTTGTTGAGGATACATTGGAGGAGCTATATTACCACTACCACCACTACCACCACCTTGCTGTTGCTGTTGTTGTTGAAACATGGCTCTTTGCCTTTGATTACGAATAAATTGAGCCAACAATTGAGGGTTGTTTCTAAGTATTTCTCGCAACCGTTGCTGTTGTTCAGGTTGACTCTCGTTGTTAGTACGCAGTGCATTTAATAATTGTTGTAGAGACTGCTGATTAGATACCTGATTAAGGTTTTGTTGATAACCTTGAGGCCTAGGAGCCATAACTTGTTGCTGTTGAATCATAGTATTTTGTTGATTATTAAGGATCATTTGTTGTTGAGGCTGCATGTTCATTGGTCTTTGTTGTTGCTGTTGTTGTTGTTGCTGCTGTTGTTGCTGCAGCATCATTTGATTGTAATTAGGTTCACTGACCCATTGGTTGACTTGTTGTGGAGTTTGTGGTGCAATCTGCATGTGTGGTCTTTGCATTTGTGGTTGAGGACCTCCTTTTCCATAACCTACGTTGTCGTGTTGACGTGCAGCTTCTTCTTGTACCTGTTTTACTACTTGTAAAACATTAGCAGGGGGAGTTTGTTTTCCTGGTGGCATACCAGGACCTTTATGAGGTATCATTTTTGGTTGATTTGTCATATGCGAGGTTGCAACAGAAGGACTACTAGTATTATCTGTGCCTAGAGTTCCAGTGTTCATAATAGCCATTCTTCTTCTTAGAAGTTGAGCTTGTTGTAATCTTTGTTGTAACTGTTGCTGTTTGATTTTATGTTTCATGTTTGGACAGAATAACACAGGACACTTGGCTTCTGTACAATACTTAGCATGATGGAAACATAATGCAATATATTGTTTGCAAATAGGACAATTACCATTCGACTTTACTTTACATAATTTTACATGTTGTACTACCCTTTTCATACGCTGACAGCTTGCCAAGCGACAATTTGCATCCCTACACTGACAGGCATGTACAAGTGACAATATACATCGACGAATAGACAATTTTCTAGCCTCTTGAGGATCAGCTTGTTTTTGGTCACCAGGAGAAGAACCATCATCTAAGTCAAGACCAAGTTTCTCCATAGGATGAGGATGTTTTTCTTTGTCATAGCAGGTAATACATAAATCAAAGTCATCACAAACTGTACAGTGATATCTAGTTTCAACATGTGATTTACAACTATTACAAGTATAAACAAATTTATCTTGGCCTTGGTTATGTAATTCATACAACATTGCCATTGAAGAAAATTTAGCTCTACGAAGTGATGAAAACTCATAATGTTTTTCTCTAGCCATGGTCAAAAATGCATCTCTACCATCCATTAAATCGCAACTAATTAAAGGATCAGGGTCTTGAATAGGTCCCAAAGCAGCTGCAGACTGAACACTATGTAATCTTATGACAAAAAACACTTCTTTATGTTTGTCCATGTTATCAAAAATTTTAGCAGATAAGTCACTACTTGTTTGAGGTAACATGGTTTTCTTTGAACTGCTTTTTCTTTGACTGGATTTTGATTTATTTGACTTTTTGGCTTTCTGAAGTCCTTTTTTCTTGCCATCTGGACCTATTTCAACTTCATCACTTACACACATTTCAACTGATTCTTCAGCTTCAGCTAACTTTCTTTTTTGTTCTTCTTCTTGGTCAAGCTCTTTTATACTATCTTCTAAAGCATTTGGCCAAAAATCACCTTCAAAATATGGCAATTCTGCGGCAGAACTTAGTTTATCCTCAATAGCTTGTTTTAATATATCTTTATAGTCTAGAATAATACGTTCAATAATGCCTTTGTCCAACATTTTTTTATACCACTCTTGTAACCGTTTTGGCTTAGGAATTTTTTGTTCTGGTGGATGACAATGGAATATATAGTCATCTCCTTCAGACGGAGGGCAAGCCCAAATATGTGCCATTGTATAACCTAGCTGTTTAACATAATCAAGATAGCCAAGTAATATTTCATGATATACATATGTTCTATATTGTTTAGGCCTAAAAAAATTAACTGAATCTAAATATGCAATATAAACTCTTCTTGTGTTGGGTCCAGGAGCTTCTGATCCATACTCTTGTACATGCATACCAAAAAAGCAAACATCAGTACCATCAATTTCTTCAAATGCATATAATGCTTTTGCTCTATACGGAAATTCACCAACCATATCACCACTTTCAACAAAACGGCTTCGCATTCCAGGTTTTACTTCAACTATTTTGTCTGAACTAGAAACAACACGAATAGCAACTTCACCAGCACCTGCTTCTTTTTTCTTCAAAAAATTATTTACCCTTGTTTCAATATAAGTACCCAATTTTGTTACAGCCAATTTTTTTGCATTAAATTTATTTTCTTTTCGCTTTTCATTTCTTTTTGCTAAACATTTATCACAAGCATAACCTTGTGGATTAATGTTTTCATTATGAAGAACACATATTTGATGTAATTTTCTTCCACAATGAATACACATGATAAATGGTTCCAATTCTAGGTGATCATTTTTCATTTCAACAAATTGTTCTTTTTTGATAACTTGCTGTGCTTGTGTAGGATCTTCACCCATTGTAACAGCATCACCAGGTATGTCATTAAAACATTTAACACAATAAATGTATCTATTTTCATAACTAAAGTACTTCGCATCTCTTGGTATTGTACAAAGTTGTTTACCAAAACAACAAAGAACTTGTGGATTAAATGTGAACTTTCGGCCACAACAGTAACCAAGACTACGCATTACAGGATAAATTTCCTGTTCAAAAACTTCTGATAATTTTGTACAAGACTTATACACTTTTGTCGATTTTTTATTATAATGCCAAGCATTTTCAAACATTAGCCAAACATCGTCTACATAACTCCAAGGATCAGAATATTGACCTGTATTAAGTTTCTCTCTAATGGTAGATAAATCCATTGGTTTTTTAATTATAAGGAAGTAATCAGGTATATTTAAAGCTTGAGGGTCGACAGGTTGTTTGAATGGCTCAGCTTCAGGTTCTTGCTTGTATAATTTTTCTAGAGTAGGCATTAAGGCTTGTCTAAGTTCATCTGGTCTAAATACACATTTTTTAATAGCACTTTTACTATCAGTGGTAGGTTCAAATGGCTTAATATCAGTAGTAATATTTGATTTTGGACTTGCTACTTCTTCTTTGACTTTGACTTCCATTTTTACAGAAGTAGTCGTATCATCACTATGTTCTTGTTTAATTTCAGATTTAATAGTTTCAGAATTAGTTTCTGTATTCATTTTTCCTTTTCCATAAGCTCCTTTTCCATCATTACTGTCATCATATTCATCTTTAATTTCTCCTTTCACATCTTTGGGAGAATCATCTTGAGCTAGTGCTGAAGCAATAGCATTCATTTGACTTGAATGACTAATTGAAGATGAAGATTCAGATCGAGAATACCCCTTACCCATACTGTTGGGCAACATTGATGGTACATTTGAGATAGGAGCCATTGTATTATTAGGTAAAACACTAGGTCCATTAACTATTTTTTCCATATTCATTTGATTCATTCTATTTGATTGTATCATCTGATTATTAATATGTTGCTGTTGTGATGGTTGTTGTTGTTGTAAATGTATTTGTTGTGGCATCTGGGCAATCGACTGATTTGAAAATTGAGGTTGAACAAATGATGCTTGAGATATGTTTGGCATCATTTGTGTATTAGTTGGGAATTGACTAGTATTGATTGGACTTTGGGCAGGTGGTTGAGTCAAACCAAATGTGGTTTGTGGTAAGTTAGTATTAGGACTTGGTCCAGGAACAGGCGATGTTATGGGAAAATGAACACGATCTGTCATTTGTGTTTTCATTAATCCACCTGTAGTAGGCACTCCTTGTTGTTGAGGCAAATTAGGTTGACTTGATTGAATAGATGTATGATGCAATGTTGTTTGCTGAGATTGTTGTTGTGACTGTTGTGCTGTTGGTTGTTGTGTGGGCATTCCTTGGGCAGTAGCTGTAGGGAAACACTGTGTATTTATATTGGTTGTTTGCTGCTGCTGAGAACCCATTTGTTGTTGCTGCATTTGCTGTTGTTCTTTTCGTTTTTGCATTTTTTCTTCCAATTCTTTTTGAATTTTATAAAATGTTTGGGCTAATCGATGATAATATTCTGATCTTGAATTAGCTACATTGTACATATCACCTTCTACTTTTCTAGCATAAGCAACTAAATTGTTCATACGCTTATCTAACATTGCTTTAGGATCATATGTAGGAAAAATTGCTTGCACAAGTTTATGTACTAAATGATTTCGAAGTTCTGGAGTAATTGATTCATGCCATTCTTTAGTTTCAATATGATTACCCCCGGGTAAAGACTGACTAGGCTGTGCTTGATTGTTCATTTGAGTAGTCATAGTATCTGTACTAGTTGTCATTATAAAAGAATTAGGTATATTAGTCACAGTTTGTTGAATGCTTGATGGTATCGGCACAGTTGTATTAGAAACAGACTGCAAAATGTCATTAACTGAATTGGTACTTGGGTCTGTATTCATTGTTGCAGGAGGTGGTTGAGAATGTGGTGTCATCACTCTAATGTTTTGATTGGGAGGAAGTACAGTGTTATTAGGTGGATGGGGCATTTGGGATTGCATGGCAGCTCTTATGCCAACATTGGTTGCAACTCCACTAGGTACTTGATTCACTTGATTATTAACCTGAGCATTGTAACAATTCATGTCATTCATCCCACTAGCATTTTGAGATGTATTATTTGCTAATGGGTTACGATTATTTGATGCTTTTAAAGGCTGACAAATTGGACAGTCTAGTCTAGTACACTGTTTCCAATGTGAAATAATTTGTCTAGATGATGAACAATGAGCAACATTACAATTACGCCCAGCTGAACATGAAGTCATATGTGCTAAAACACCTTTCATGGTATTACAATGTTGTAAACGACATTGTCTCACTTCACCATTGGCTTGATTATCTCGCCTCTGACACTGATGTGCATGTAATAACAAGACAAGTTGTTGAGTTATCATTTTTCGTTTTTCTGGATTTGCTTGACTTCTATCTGCAGGTCCTCCAGCTTGTGGTGGTACAACTACATTTTGGTTAGCCATATTTAATTGCTGTCCTAAGCGTACATTTACTTGAGGTTGAGGAGGAGTAGGATTATCAACTAACATACCATTTGTATTGGTATTAAAACGAGGTACTTGAGACCGTACAATACCAATTGGCTGTTGTTGAACAACATTTATTTGTTGATTGTTCTGATTGTATGTATTGAAGTTATTGACAGGACTCATGGCACCAATTGGGGCCTGTATCCTTTGCTGAGTATTCATTGAAAGGTTATGTAATTGATGTGGAGTCTGACTTCGAATTTGTTGCTGATGGTGCATGGGAATACTTCTTCCCATCATAGGTCCATTTTGTTGCTGAGAAATTCCATGATGAGGATTGTGCATAGAATTATTAACTATATTATTCCCCATCATAATATTTACATTTGACATTCCACTAATACTGTTTTGAAGTTGATTGGAGTTCATATTTGCATTTCCCATATTTACAACCATAGGCTCTCCTGATTTTCCAACTAACACATTTGGAGAAGGTATATTTGGGTTTAATGGTTTGTTCATTGACATTCCAGCTGCTGATACAATATGTTGTTTGTTACCCATAAAGTGATGAGCTAGTTGTTGCTGACTAACAACTAACCGTTGTTGGATATTAGATTGCTGTAATTGTTGTTGGGGATTATTTTGTGGGACAAGCATACCGTTTTGTAATGGCATTTGGGGTTGGAGATTTTGTTTCATATCAGGTTGTTGATTCCAAGATGTCGTGCTTATTAATTCATCGGGGAGATCATTCTCGAGATCAAACATCTCATTACTGGAATAAACACCAGAAGAGTCTGAGGACCCTTGGAATGGATCTTCCAGCTTGGGCCTCTTGTTTGGTGGGCTATCCACCAATAAGTCCGACATGATTTTTATTAGTTATATAAATAGAAAACCTAGTATAAAAATTACTAGTAACAAAAAATTACATGATAAGAAAAATTGCACAAAGTCCTAGCACTACTTTACATAATATATCTTATTAAAGTTTTTACTCAAAATGAGTATTGATTGGCAGATTTCTGTCCAGGTCCAAATTCACATAATTATGCAGTATGTGACTAAATATAACCAGATAGTGAAAATTGCCATTTTAAAAATAGTCGAAAAATGTAGTTTAAAGATGTCATTTGAAAGCACTTTTTCACCTTAATTCTTGCATGTTATGACTTGTCTGATAAATTGTCAATTCAACCTAAACAATAAATACATTTTTATAATTTAATTACCAATAAAGATTTTAAATTAATTTTTGTTAAATAATAACATTGTTGTCATTTGAAATGAAAACAAGCTAAATTAAGAACCATATGGAATTAGGGATCAACCCATATCTTAAAGAAAATATTAAGGCACTTAATTGGTCTATAGGACCTAGGATCCTTGCTTCCTCTTTGACACTCTAAAAAAAAACTGTTACTCAAAAAGAAACTAAAAAATATGTCTAAGATATCAAGTTATAAAACTTATTAAAGATTAATAAAGTAATAAAACAAAATAATTTTAATTATTTCATAAACATATAATTAACATAAAAACATGTTTCCCAAAGGATTACAAAACAACAGTTTTTTTTAAACTTTTAATATACTTTAGAAATAATAATGTTACAATAAAAATTATCTATTTCTATTTCAGTGCATCTTTTTAATGCCAGCAAGAATATGTAACAAAAAAAATTATCAAAATGACCCATGCCTCTCCAACTATATTAATATTAAAGAACACTCAAATTATGAATGAGATTAGTTAAATTAGAATCATTTTCAAATAAAGGATTTTTAAAAATTATTTAAAATTTTTTTTCTTTTTTTTTAGCTCAAGTCAATAGTACAATCAAAACTTATTTCTAAAAGCTTTATTTTATTAATACTTAAATTATACTTACTAAAATTAAAGTTAAAATTGTTGAGGGGTAAATTCATGCCATAACACAAGATCATTAAATCAGCCAGAAAAACAATCTAAAATATAATAAACTTATTATAACAAAATTGTTTACATGTTTTTTTAAATATTTTTTAAAATAAATATGAAATGTAAAAATAAAAAAACTTTTATAGTTAACTATAAATCTACAAATAGTTTAGAATTTTAAATTCATAAAAAAAGAAACAAATAAAAATTATAAATTAATTATCACATATTATGACATAAAATATGCCTAACTGAAGAAAATAAAATTTTAAAAACAATGCTCACAATAAAATAATCAGAACAAAGCGTTGAAAAATAAAAAATAACCCAGTGAAAAATATTTACAAATAAATCTTAAAAAAAAAAGTATTCTAATTATAAAATATTTGTAGCATTAAAACTTAAATTTAAACAAGGCAATGGTGTGATATGTCTTTTAATAGTCAATAACATATTTGAGTAGTTTATTAAACCAAAATTTATAGTTAAGTAAAAAGTATTAAAACTTGGTGAAAAAATATAACACTCATTTTGATTAAACCGCATAAATGAACTTGGTAATCAGTAGATTTTTTTTATTATTGAATATTTTTTTCTGTACAAAATACATAATCAAAAAATGTACCTTAGTAGTTAAAGTTAGTTAGTATTAATTGATGGATATAAGAAATTAAAAATAATTAAAGATAAAAATACTTGATATTTCAGTTTAAAACTGTAATTCTGTATTTTAGTTTGGTGGATTATGTTACTTCTTCGTGAAAATAATGATTAAAATTTACTCTCTAATTTCGTAAGATTAGATTTAAATTATTATTTTGCATATTATCAGAAATAACTGATAATATATTTTTGAAGAAAACAACAGAAATAAATAGAAAATCACGAAATAATACTAAATCAAGATCAAAAATACTGTATTTAAAAATTTAACACATAGGAAAAAACTTAATAAATAGGGGGATAAGGGCCAAGAAAGTGATAATTGATTTAAGGGCACGGCTATAAAACTGTGATAAATGCAGATTAATTGAGGAAAAAAAGATGGGCATTTAAAAAATTAGAACTTTTACTCCAAAAAAATTGAGAAAATATGATTTGGACGCAAATAAATACTCAATTTCAAGACTTTAGATCTTGTAAACACAGCCGTCGACGATACATCAAAAAGTAGGCTGCCGCGGCCGCGATCACTAAACCTCGTAGTAGTGTATTGTACTTACCGTGTTGTTCAAGATTGACGTGATCTGAGGCAATGTTTATAGCCGATAAGCACAGTTGGAAGACACTTTAACAATCCGTTTAAAAGCGTATTAGCGACTGTTGTATAACGCGCCGATGATTTGCAATGATATGACACAATAAAAACGGCAAAGCAACAACGAAATCGGCGACAAGAAATATATTTTTCGACAACAAAACTCGATGTAAATAAAGCACTCACGGGATATGATGGACAATCGGGGAACGGGGAGTCATCGGTTGTCAGGTCAACGATTGTTTCTGCAGCTCAACAATCGATAGTTTTTAGTAACAACTGTTTTGAAATAATTGTTGACAACAAGGCTACTTGAAAATTCTTCATATGAATAAAATTTGTCAAAAAATATATTTATTTACAATTTTCAATAGGTTTTAATTATTCAAACGGTATTTTATTAAATTTCTTTAATGCTTAGATACATACTATCGGTTTTAGTATATCAGTGTTACCGTTAATAGAGAATCCACGTTCAAGGTCGATGGTGACAATGTAACCAACTTAATCAAAAAACGATAGCGCGCGCGCGCGAAACACAGGACAACAAGCGCGGATTACGGATTTAATAATTTTTTACTTACTACTAACACTTTATGCAAGTTTAACTTAAGATACAAAATCAATCGGCACAGCCGTGAAATACATCACAGCAACTGTCACAAGTTACCACTTAATTGAGCGGGAAACATAATTTTGAATGTACGTCGTCTTATATGCGACGTGGACACTATGGCTGTGCAATAAAAAGAAGAGGGGAGTTGGCCCATTAGTGGCCGTACATAAATTTAACTGTTACAACCGAGTTGCTTTTTCCTGACTAATCCCAAAAGAAAACACAGCAAAATTCGTTCGTTAAATATTATCGTTTTAATTAATTAATAATAATTATAGCCTTATTTGAGAGGATCAAGTAATTTTTATGAAATGTACATAAACTTAAAAATAATATTTTTATTTTTTTTTCCCAGATTTAAATAAAATATTTTGCATTGCAAAAAAAGTAAAATATTAGCTGGTATAAACTTTATCGATCAGTTAATCACAAGGGTAGCGAATACTAAAATGATGACAAATAATTAACTATCGTTTAGAGGTATAGCATAGGCGATAGTTGGTCAATTTTTTTGGGGGAGCTAAATTTAATTTTTCCTCCCCAAAAATAATTTTTATTATTTATATTATGTTATTATTGCTAAATTTCTGGAGAGAGCTAGGTACTCCACCTTATCCCTATAGGTATATGATATGGTCATATTTTTTTTTATAAATAGCTTAGTTTAATACTCAATTATTATAAATAAGGTGTAAATAAAATTTACTATATACATTTTATTTATAACACATATTTTTTTCATTGAAATATTATATTTTATTTCGTGAGAAAATATTACAAGTTAAATCTAAAGCTAAACGTTAAAAATAAATGAGCCAAACAAATCATATTCTTTCTTGTTAATTCTTTTGTTAGAGAACATGGTTGTTGGGACCACATCCCCCCCACTTTTTTATATTAAATATATACTAAGGATATAATTTTAAAAATTAGCAAAAAGTAACATGCATATTAACAAAACTTTGAGAACACCACTGTGTACCCTAAAATACAACCTTGTAGATTCCGATAAAAAATTTTGTTGATATAAAATGACAATTTTCGATAAAATTCTAAGTTTATAGACATTTTCACTATTTAGCAAAAAATTTAATCGACAGGGACAGCAAAAGTATCCTTTGCATCATGATTTTAAATAATATATTTTAAAAAATAATTCATTTTGCATAAAGGATTTGAAAAAAGTTAGGTTTTATCCCATCACTATTATATCTTATAACCATGGGCACAATTTCATCAAAATATTTGAAGGGGCTTATTACATCTGATTTCGCCCTCCCAAAAATTATTTTTGTTTAATAATTTGTATAATTTTTTTAAATTTTAAAGGGGCTAAATCCTTTAATTTGCTTCTTTAATTATTACAGTAAAATAATATTGAACTACAATATAACTGTCAATTGAAACGGATGACTATCAGAAAGAAAATTTACTAAAATTATAACATGAACAATCAATACTTTGTCAGCTTTCATGAAAGCTAACAAGAGACTATAGAAACTCGCTTCAATTTAAAACCCTTGTACCACGATGTGAATTGATTGAACTAGTTTAAAGAGCTTCTTCTTGTTATTTTAAAATAGAGGTTATAAATTTTTTTTAAATGGGTAAATTACAAAACACGTCTAACTCGTCATTTAGAAGACATTAATTTCATATAAAAGTTATAAATAATTAAGAAAAATATCAACTAAAACATTTTTTTTTACATTATTACTTTTTACAATTGGTTATAAAGTATAGATCATGGTTCAAGAGGACTATACAATTTCTTCAAAGCCTTGCCTTAATTCGCTCATGGTTTAATTATTTATGTATAAAAAAACTTTACAAAATGATTAATATACTAAAAATATTAAAAAAATTTAATTTTTGGTCATGTGTTGATGAGTAACTTCAGTCTAGCTCGATAAATAGAATTTGGTTGGTTAAAGTAAATGGCTTAGCGGTGATCACCAGAAAGATTTTAGTTTGGCCTATCTTACTTCAATTTTGGGGAGAAGTTAAATTTTAGTAAATATATGATATGTCAAAATTTGTCTATATTGTAGGATTTATGGTATAAGAACTTACTAGTAAGAAAATAATTTGCATAAGAATACAAAAAACAGCGATTTTTAAACAAAATAATTATATAAATACATGTATTCGTTATGGTCAATATAGAATTACGAGTAATGTGCATATTGACTGGAGATTGTGGTAGTGCCTATACTTAACGGGCAATACAACTGAAGTTCAACTTGGATCGGTCAATATAGTACTGCCTGGCGTAAAATGGGTAATTTGTATCATATCATATTATTAGATATCTGATACTACTTCTATTATAATGATGTCGACACTATTGTTGTAGTAAATATCTTTATGTTTATTACAATGACTTTTAGTAGCGCACTGATTGTTGTTGTGTGAGCACATTTTAAATGGAATCATTACTTTATAACAATTTAATAAGCGTTATCGATAAAAAAAATAAAAATAATGCATTTTTAAGCAAATTTAAGTATGACAAACTAGTGGCTCAATTAATGAAAGTAAAATTAATAATTGATCAGGTGTGTTCAAAGTTATGAATAAATATGATGCTATAACAATATCAAGAGACTATAAATTGATTGTACCTTTAAAAGAGAGTAAACCATTTTTATTTTATGCGTATAACAGAATTATTTATTATACTTCAAGAAATGTATTTTTTCATTGGAAAATGAGGTGGAAACCGGATGGAATATGAATTAAATAAAAAGTACAAAAATATGACTAGAGATACTAACAATGACATATTCAAATATATGCCAATCTTGTCAAAAAAAAAAAGAGAGTATTGTTGGAAAAATATTGTTAAACTAATAATTTTTTTTTAAATGAATTTAAGATGTAAGGTTGATTTAATAGGTACGCAAGCGTAGTTCGATGGTGATTATAAATTTATTTTCGTTTATAAAGATCATTTAATTAAATGTTTTGTTCTTAGGCCACTTACGCATAAAAGTGCAGTAGCAGTTGCTTATGTTTCATTGGATATTTTTACTACATTTGGTGCACCATCTATTTTACAAAGCAACAATAGTAGAGTATTTGTTGTTAATAGTATTATTATTAAACTTAATAATATAAAATATCCTGCACAGTTGGGATAAATATAAGATGACAGCGATTTACATCACTATCTTAAAAAGAAACGCTTTTATACGAATCTGTTGAAATTCGTTTTTTTCTGCTCAAACCTCTTATAAACATTTTCAAAAATTGTAAACTTTTACTTTAAAGTCAAATAACTCATAAAAAATATATCGTGGGAATGTTTTTTTTTTTAATCATAAAGTACTCTTAAAAGCTTTGATTTGGTATAGGTTTGAAAAACGCAGATATCCCGGAACATTTTCAAAAATAATTAATACAAATTTATTTAATAAAAAAAGTAAAAAGAAGTAAGGTTTTCGAAAATTCATCTTTTATTTTTTCTTCTCGTCATTATTCCAATTACTTACTTGGAGTCGGCCACCCTTATCCTAAGCTTCCACTTTACACAATCTCCCATGTCATCAACGCATATATTTATCAGACGTTCTCATTTTGCATTCAATAATAGCCCTCCAACTCTTTTTTGGTGTTCCTCTAATTTTTCATCCTTTAACATTCCTTTCCATAATCAGCCGCATTAAAATTTTCTTATAGCATAACTCACCAGGTTCTACTCTCCACTTCACCCACCCACACATAATCTTGAGTTTTATATCCTCAACCATTGTTCTTTTGTACAAATGATCCTAAATACTTAAAACTTTCCACCTTTTCTGTTATGTCCTCGCTTATTGTCACTGATATCCTCATTTCACCTGTGTCGTGTTCTCCTTTGTCAAACTCGTACTCTACAGGGTGCAATTGAAAAGTAACTAAACTTTTGCTGTAAAAATTTTTTTATTGAACTTTTTGACAAATGCACTATTCCTCGGAATACATTCATTATGCTTCGATTTACTGACGGTGGCGGTCTTGCTATTGTTCAAAACATTTTTAGATTTATACTTTTTTGAATGACTTTAATTGATTGGAAACGCCTATCCTTCAAGTTTTTTTTTATGAGAATATACAGAAGTCCGGGGATACACTTTTAAACTGTAGGGGTGGGGGTGGGAAAGCAATGCGATTCCATGCTTAGCCAGGTAAGAGGTGTAGAGGAACGCTGTGTGAATGCACACCTTGTGCATGCCTAATTCTTCCGTCACAATTTTTTGAACGTTGTAGTAAGTGAAATTTAACTTTTGACTCATCTCCCATATGTTTACTCTATAGTCGATGTTCAAGAATTCATGATTTGATGTCGAAGGCCTCCTGCGGGTAGTTCGTCTTCGGGGTCTTCCCGACCATTTTCGAATGCCACTCGTACCACTTATAAATTTGTGTCCAAGACAGAACATCATTTCCGTAGTCTTTCTTAAGTCTAGGTAAAAGTCTTTTTCAGTTTCACGCAAAACTTGATTGCGTAACGCTGTTTAATCGTTCGTTGCATTTTCACTGCTAGATAGAACTAACTGACTGAAAAAACACCCTTCGTGTCAACAATTATATCAACTCAACCGTTGCTCGTAGTTCACTGACGCAAGTCGTGCCGGAAAGAGGAAGGTCTGACGCACAACTTTTTTTTTAATTTACAAAAAAAAAATTGTTTGGTTACAACCGAGCTTTTCAATCCTACTCTGTATATAAAAAATTATATACTTGTTACTCTGTCTTACTCCTATTTATTCCTTTTCGTTCAAGAGCTCAACTTCATATATTTAACCTTTGATTAATTTCATACCCTTTTTTCTCCTATTATTCTCACTATATTGTTAGCGAACAACATGCACTACAGTACCTTTAGTATTTCTTTAGTAAAACTTTAAACTAAATAATAAAAAATATCATCATTCCTAATAAATTCTAGATGTCGGGAATATTCCGGAAAGTTTCTGTGATTAACATTTTGGGAATTTGCATATCTATAAGGTGTGATAAAGAATAGTTTTGATAAAATTCTATGAATATTTTTAAGGTAAAATTGAAATATTCAAATTTGTTGTAAAGTGAATTATCATATTTTTCCAACAAATGTTCAAATAAGCAATTATTTTAATGTTTTTTAACTTCAAATATAATAAGGTCCTATAATTTTGGTGATTGTTGCTTAAACTCAGGGCCTTTACGTGTTTAGATTATACATTCATTGCACAAAAACCTAAATTATGTTTTAACAAACTCTTTTTGGTCATTATCTGAAAATAAAAATAAGTTTGAAGCCTATTTTATGGTTTAACATTGGTGCCTATATTTTAATGTGATCATTTCACGATGAAGCCAAAAATTAATAAATTTAAAAGTGAACATCTGGTGAAGGAGAATACTTACAATTTATTAATTCTTTATTTTTCTGTCGATTGTATATTTTATATTTTAAAGTTATATTAAATAACGGTATCAGTGATTTTTAAAAATTGATAATTTTATCAATGTTATCATTCTTCAACCAAGGAATAGCTGCTATACAAATTTACTATCTAAGAATTAATGTTGTGATGACGCAAAATTATTCAGTTTCATTTTTGATTTTCAACATGGTTAAAAATTGAAGATAAATTATTATTTGCTGTTAATTTTATGATTTATTAATTTTAAATAATTATTTTGTAAGTATACATTTATCTGTTTATTTGTAAATGAAACTTTTTATACTATATATATAATTATACATATATTTTAAATTTAACATAGTTGTATTAAGCATTTTTTAAAAATTATTTTCTTAACTTATCACTTAAGGATTATTTTAGTTAAATGTAGATTTTACAACAATAATAATATGTATTATTTTTTTAGAATTTATGAAAATAATGTATATATAAAATAATTTTTGTTATTATCTATAGTCCAACAAAAAATGCCGGGTAAAGTTTATATTGAAAACCATCTAGAAGATTATTTAAAGACTTTGACTGAAGAAAAAGCTTATATTCCTGGATTAATCATTGGTCAGGTAATTTAATAGTATAATAATTAAATATGTTTTCTGGATTAATATATCATTACAAAAAAATTACTAGGTGATAGGTGATACTTATCATGTAGTTCATTTAACAACTATAACTACATGGAATGAAAATAAAAAAAAAAATGTATTAAACATTTTAAAATATACTTCTTTGTTGAAAATGACAGAAAATTTTTATGCTGTGATTGATAGAGCATCAGAAGTAATTGTTCTTTAATAGTTTTTTTATTGAAAAAACATATTTTTTCAGAACCAGATTAAAATACAACCTTTACTTAAAAGTGAATTTTCTTATAGAAAGTTATAAATATTTTATTTATAGAAGTTTCTTTCTTTTGTCTTTTAATCTGGTTTTGATTATGTTAGGGAAATTTATAAAAGCTGTTAATAATGTTAATAGGTGATAAATTTATTGCCAGGAGGATCTTATGTATTAGGATTATTTTTCATTTTACCACAAGATCTTAATGGAATTCAGCCAGTTTCAGTTGATTTTTCTGAATTAGATAATGTTTTAAATGAATTTGTGTTATTTAAAAATAAGAGTGAAACATGGAAATATCTATTACTTAACTTCTCTACTGTTAATAAAAAGCAAGTATACATTTATATCACTAGTTTAAATCTATGTTACTTTTATAGAATAGATGTAATATTTTAGATCATATTGTTACACTGTTGATATAAATAATTCCAATAATGCAAAATCGATGACATACAAGTCTATAGATGTGTCCTTTCAATCTAGTGAAACAGAATGGATTAATTTTGTTGGAACTTTTAATTTTGGTACACTAGATTCATTAAATGTTACTGGGGGACTCAAAGTGTTGTCTTCTATAAGAGAGGTAAAAAAATGATGATTGTAACTGTATTGAAATGCAGTTGTTAAATTATAGAAATAAATAGAAATAATATTACAGAATTGGTTGTAATTATAGTGTTGAGTAAATTTTTTAAAGAAAATTTAGCAGTGATTATAAATGTATTAGTTAATAAATTAGTTATTTGTATGATATTTTTCTGTACTGAAATTTTCATTCAATCTTTGTTATTGGATAAATTTTTGATAAATTTAATAAAGGATCTTTTTTAAACTAGTTGAACCTTATGAACTTATAATTTATATATAATATTTTTTATTCATCTAGTTATTGTTATTTAATTGTTTTTGTTAGAGAGATGAAATACTTATTATATTAAAATGATCCTTAGATACATTTAAAATAGAGAAATATATTTTTTTTAATTTCCAAATTATTAATGTAAAAAAAAAGTTATTTTAACATAATTAAAGGAAACAAGTCAAAAGGCAATTTATTTATTGTTATTACTATATTTGTCATTAAATTTTTTTCTGAAAAGCTAGTTTTAAAGAGGACTGAAAAACCTATACAGCTCAATGCAACAGAATCAAACCCTGGTACCTACATACCTATTTATAAAAAAACTTATTTTACATGTAATATCATAGATGCTCTATTGAAGTTTTATGAAAAGTAAAAAGCAAATTATTGATTTATTTAAAAACAAATTATTTCTCATCAACAAAATTTAATTAATAAAAACCTTAATAGTACTTAACATTTTATTAATTTGTGATAAAATAATTTATTTTATAAAGTGAGATGTATCATATTTCATTATCTTTTTCAAGTAAGATATTTTAAAATTAAATACAACTTTTTATTTTCAAATTAATTATATACAAACATTTATGTTTCATCTAATAATTTAATTCAAATGGCGAATGTACGAAAAGTAGGTGCTTTGGTTTCTAATACCCTCAACGTTTTTTAAAAAGTTACATATATGAAACAATAAAAATAATTTTAAAGAAGGGAAAATTACACTTACCACCCTTAACATTTTTTACTATTTATTTATGTTGCAAAATATAAACATTATTATTACAGAATCTATTAGATCAACTAGAATCAATACTAGAAAGATGTGTGTTTACTTTCAATGGAAAAATTTATGATAAAAAAACAACTTTGACAAATTTGCTTTGTGAAACATCTGATAATTCATTAAAAAATGTTGTTCATGTTGAACTTTTTAAAGAAGTATGTTAAGTAATACTTAACTGTTGATATTTAACAAATAAATTATTAATAAATATATCTTAGATTGAATCTGGAGATGATAGTAAAAATGCTTCTATAAAAATTATTAGAGGTAAAGGAAAAATTGTGATGTCAGGTTTATGTAGTTTAGCTGTACCATTTCATAAAAGTGGATTTATCGAGGATGCTACAAAAGTATGTTAAATTTACTTGTATTAAGTATGCTTAGAATTTATAAACATTTTTTAAGTGTATATTTTTTATAGGCTATTCATCAAGATGCAATTCGTACATTTGCAACACGTTTAAGAATGCATTTGGAATCATTTGTTGAAGAAGAATCTGAAGAAGAAGGTATTTTTAAGTTTAGTATAGTTATTTAATGATATCAAATGATTAAAATAATAAATAATAATGAATATAATTAATATCATCATTATATAAATAGAATATTAAAATACTTTTTTATTAAAGTGTGACACCTATTAATATTATTAAAAATATTATTTTTAAAGAATAAAGTATTATAAGTACTTGAAAAATAATATGGTATTAAAATGAAAAAAAGATTATTATATTTATTATAATTTTTTTTTTAGAAGAAATTATAAATGTTGTACATGAAACACCTCGAAGAATATTGATACTAAAAACTGAAGGCTGTAAATTTGCATTTAGTGATTATGTTTTTCCTGGAGAAATTCCTCAAGAAGCTTTCAATACTGCTGGAGAAATATTAAATCTACCAGAAGATAAAATGGAATTGTATACTGCTTTAGAAAAAGGTATACTTAACTTACCTAAGTTATAAAATATGCTATAGTAATTAAGATTAATGGTTAAATTGTGGCTAATATTATATTCATATTATAATATTATAAAAATTAAAAAATACTAATGAAAAAATACATTAAAAATACTTAATTTTAAATATATTTGGTTGGGTATGTGTTGGTATTTTTTTTCTAAAAATATTTTTGCATTTTTAAAGTTGAGTATTTTTTATTTTTCTTAGTTTTCTATTATTCTGAAATATTATATATTTTAGTAATTTGTTTTATTTCAGGACGAACCAATTATGAATCTTCGGATATTGATGATTCACAACAAGACATCAAAAATTCTATGGCTGGTGTAACACCTAACAGCAATTCCCTTTTTTTTTTTATTTGGGCTACAATAATATTTGCAATAATTTCATTTATTGTTAAACAATTATATATTTAAAATAAATGTTATCTCAATACTAATAAATTTACATTCCTAATATTTTTTTAAAAACAATAATAATATAAATAATAACTATCTTATGTTAGCTATTTAATTGTATAACTTGTTTCATTAAAATATTTTATTTTATTTGTACTTAGTTATTGTTATTTCTTCATACTTCTTTGGAAATCAATGATAAAAAAAAAGAAATAAGCCAATTTCCAACAATGGGGCCATTGTTGGAAATCTGATAAAATAATAAAAAACGTATGTTTTAAAATTATGCTTGCAAGCCAGAGGTAAACTATCATTGTTCGACTTTTTTTAATATAAGGTAAGATAAACTTTAAAGTGCTCATGTATTTATTATTTCAAAAATAGTTATATTTGATTTATTAAAAAAATTTGTGGTGATTATTAAGAGGAGTCCCTCTATAGTCGTTTTATGAATATATATTACGCTTATTTATTTTTTGATCATTCATTTTATCAGTAAACAAAATTTGATTTAGATCATTGAATGATCTAAATCATTTTTACCTTAGTAAAAGAAATCGAATTTGAATACGACTTTGGAAATTCGAATGTTTAAAGAATATTAACCTAAATACAGAAAATTACGATACTCTTGAAAATTAGTTTTTAATTAAGAAATAGTCGGAAGTTTCAAATAAAATGAAAATTAATGCTTTAATTTTTTAAATGCTAAAATATTATGACAAAAAAAAAAGAAAACTTGAAGTTTACCGATCTTTAAAGAATGTTGCTGATAAAAGAAAATAAACATTTCTTGTGAAAAAGCATCATTTTAAATATTTACATCAATTTCCCAGGGAGGGAACATTCCCATAGTGTCTAATGTATAATATTGTTCCCATACATTACAAGGGAAGATTCTATAACGTAATTATTAGCTGATAAATTAAGAAATATATATGACTAAAAGAAATCATAAATTTATTTTGCGAGTAACCGAGTGGTTTATGATAAACCGATTACTCTGTACATTCATTTATGGGGTTTTATCACCACAGTTATTACCATTCATGTACAACAAATATATCATTATTTTTATTTTCAAATAATATTTGGTAGCCACTATTATTGCCTTTTTTATTTAATTTTTAAATATAAGCAAGTATAATTTTTTTTTAAAGTAATATTGACATGTTTTGGAAATTTAAAAATGTGACAGTGTAGCCACTCTTAAAATATTTATTTAGTTATATTTTAATTTGAGGTTACGTAAAGATGATGGAAATTGATCATACTGTTAAAAGTTTCGCCTTATTAGTTAACACATAATTTTCTTCTTTCTACATATTTCTCTTTAATCATGTTAATTGTACATTTTAAATATTTGCATTACAATGTATATTCATGTTATTTATGATCTACGTAGGTAAAAGGTGTATGAAATCTTAAAACTTCGAATTTTTCAGGGACTTATTGCTAACTATCCGGCTACTTCCGGTATGTTGAAATAATGTGTTTGGCGCGATAGCGACGAACTGGTATTCTTATTAATTAAAAGTGGCATAAAATAGATTTTTTTGTTTTATGTGATGTTTTACTTAAAATATGTTAACAGGTTTCCTAATCGAAAGTAAAAATGGCTGATAGTGCAAGCGAAAGTGACTCTTCTTCCATAGATGGAGGTCCTATTATGATGCCTCCATCACCTATTACTAGAGAACAAATGCAGAAACGCATTGATTCTCTTCAACAGCAGAACCGTGTTTTAAAAGTAGAACTAGAAACTTATAAGCTTAAAATGAAAGCTATGGAAGAAGAATGTAAACGTTTACGAGAAACTTCAGTTTATATAGTATGTGATCTCTAATTATTTACGTTGAACATAAATTAAAAATAAATTTTAAAAACTAAAAGTCTTCTTACTATTAAGTAATAAAAATCATATACATTTTATTTAAATTATTAGTGTAATTAAAATATCTAATATCATCAATAATTATTTATTTTTTCAATAGCAAGTACGTGCTGAACAAGAGGAAGAATTTATTAGTAATACATTGTTAAAAAAAATACAGGCTCTTAAAAAAGAAAAAGAAACATTAGCTCATCATTATGAACAAGAAGAAGAATGTTTAACAAATGATCTCTCAAGAAAACTTACTCAAGTATATTTTATTATTTTATGAATCATTTATGATTAAATAAATTATTTAATGATTCTAAAATTAGTTACGCCAAGAAAAATGTAAGCTAGAGCAAACACTTGAACAAGAACAAGAATGTTTAGTCAACCGTTTGATGAGAAAAATTGAAAAACTTGAAGCTGAAACTACTACAAAACAATCTACTTTAGAACAATTAAGACGTGAAAAAGTTGATTTGGAAAACACTTTAGAGCAAGAGCAAGAAGCTCTTGTAAATAAATTATGGAAACGTATGGATAAGCTAGAAGCTGAAAAAAGGTAAATTATTTTTGTTTAAAGTGGATAAAAATTTTAATACTTTTTAATTAACTAAATATTTATAATTTAGACAATTACAAATAAAATTGGATCAACCTATTTCTGATCCAATATTACCTAGAGATCAAGTAGGACCCAATAAAGGAGAAATGGCTACAAATATAAGTGCTCATTTACAACATTTACGGGGTGAAGTTACCAGATTACGTCATCAGCTTGATGTTTCTAAAAAAGAAAGTATGAAAGAAATTTTTAATAAGTAAACTTAAAAAATTACTTAACTTTCTTGCAATATGTATCAATTTACATGAATTATTGTATTATAAAATATGATATTTAGTAGATATTTGATTGATTATTTTTATTTAATGTCATTGAGAATACATGATAGTATTTTAAAAATAAATATTTTTATAATCTTTATATTTTTAGATTCTAAAAAAATGGAAAAGATGGCTAAAGAAGAACGTCAAGTACGAGAAGATAATTTACGTTTGCAGCGTAAGTTACAACTCGAAGTGGAAAGACGAACTGCTTTGTGTCGTCATTTATCAGAGTCGGAAAGTAGTTTAGAAATGGAAGAAGAACGTCAGTATAATGAAATGGCATCAAATCGTTGTCGAACATCGTCAAGCCCTCTTCCTTATCCACCTTCTCCTTGCCAATCTAGACCTCTCAGTCCAGGATCTGTAACTGGTACACCTGGTATGATAAATTTTATTATATGCTTTTATTGTTCAGATAAGTTTATCTTATATTTATTTTATATTTTATTATTTCTCTAATCTTAATTATTTTTTAGTCAATTTTAATTTAATATTAAGTAAATGCCTACTATTTGTGCAATTGGGTTTTAAATGTTCAATGTATCACTTGTTTTGTGTTGTATGATAGATACGTCTGAAGCGGGTAGTGTAACTACATCACCAGAACAGAAAAAAAGGAAGTGCGGTGGTATAGATGATGAGTGTTTTGTTCATCCATGAGTGTAAGTAGAGGGCTGGTAGATTTTTGTTTTCAAAAAAATAATAAATTTATATAACTTAACAGAGAATTAAGCATTAGTATATTTAGAAATATATTAATAGTAATTATGTAGGCATTTACTTTTGAGTGCATTTATTTGGTTTCATTTAGATGCTTAGATATTTAATATTATTATAAATTACTGTTAATTAATATTTATTTATTTTATTTTAGGTGTGTTCCGTGGTGATATTGGTGTGTTAGGCTATACTAATATAAATCGTTGTTATGCCTGTGGCCAATCAGTACAACCTAATCTTATCATTGGAGCAACATCAACACCATTATGTCCCACTACTCAAGTGGTGTGTGCATAATATATTCAATTAAAATGATGTTTATTATAAATTAAATAATACATTGTGTTTTTATCTAGATAAATCAATCACGAACTTTATCATTAGGTCGACCAGGAAATGAACGGTTTGTTAAGCCTATTGTACCACTTTGTTCAAATACTGGTAACATCAGTGGTGGTGTACCCACAGGCTCACAAATACCATCTCCTAATCCACCACCATCTACTTCTCCTGGTACATTAATGGATTCTGCCAAGTACTAGAGTTATCTTTATCATTTTATTTTACTACACTGATAATGTTACTACTAAGTTTTTTTTTGTTCATTTGTTTTTTTTATTTTTATTATTATTAATAATCTCATTGAAGTAATCATATCTTATGCTTTTAAATGGTAAATATATTTATATATACATATTTATAGTTTGTCTTAGGTTTTTCTCTTAAAAAATAAAAACATATAGAGAAAAATAGTATTGATTGATAAAAATTTAATTGTAGTTTCATTTAAATTTAAATAATTATTTATTTAAAAATTAAGATTATTGTTAAAATTTCTATTTTTCAATGTGGTCCTTGACCTGAATACTATTGAATATATACTTGAAATATTTCAATATACAAATAAAAAGTGTTTATTTTTTTTGAATGGGTGTGTTTAGTGATTTTATCTTGTAAATGTAAAGTGAAAACTCAATTATGTTTTGCGCTGTATGTATATATTAACCTCTTACTTGTAATATATAAAAAATCAGTTTATTAAAATTTATGTAAATATGTATAGAGTGATTCATTTGATTATAAACTTTTAATTTCTAAAAGAAATAATAATTTTTATATTTTGATTTTAAGAAACTTCATTAGATACTGAAGTATTGTATGTTATTTTATTATATACAGTTTATAATTTCTATCTTTTTTTAACTAATAAAGTTAATTTAATAATAATGTTTACACCTATATAACAGAAAATTTATATTAATATAAATGGAACATAATGTTGGATAATCTTTATTTGGCTCAAAATGTTATAATTTTTTTAGATTTTTATTTCATTATCTTGGCTTTTCACATTAAATTGTCACACATTTATGTACATAAAATAAAATTATAATTATTTTTATGTACAAAAAGGTAAAGTAATGAATTATAAATAAAAATTGATGATTGTCCAAAGGGAGATTAAAAAAAAAAAATCAACCTAATATATTGATAGGTTATTGCTTTTTTAGGGCATTAGATTATTATGAATATATTTAGAAAGTAAATACTCAATATTTCAGTCACTAGATTGCGTTAAGAATATGGTAATCTATAAGATAATAGAAAAAAAAATTTTAACTACTCTCCTAAATTTTTACTAAAAATACAATGAGCTGTGCAAATTTTTTATTACTCATATAGAAATCATGTTAAGTAAAATCATTAATGAAAACAAACTAATTTTTTTGGTATTTAAATTACTATAATAGTAATTAAATGTACTAATAGGAAATGTTATAACAATTTCAAACATTTTTTTTTATAAGTGTTAATCAATTTAAATGCTCTTTAGTTAAAAAAAAGTATTTTAAATTAAAAAAAAAATAAAAATTTTATTTTTATTTCTTTATTACAGTAATATTTATTAAAATTTAAGTAAGTATAACTTATTAATTACTAATGAATTGTAATATTTAAATTATGCAGTTTTTTGCATGATTTTTCATGGTATAGATGATTAATTGTTATTGAGTAGTCATATTCAAAATTAGATCATTTTTTATTTTATAAACTAGTTAAATATGTATATTGTCATTAAAAAAATAAAATAATCGCCCTTATAAGGTTTAAATGATGAATTAAAATAGTAATTAATGATAAATAAGTTAAGAAATATATGAAACTAAAAATATTAAAAAAAAATTGAGTGATAGTGATAAATCAGTTAATTTAATATAATAGAAATTGTTTTTAAAATGTTGGCATTATATCTCAACCCAACCGCTATGCCTTATAAATATTTAAATATGACACCCTCATATACAGAGACAATCACAAAATTTCTTTGAGCAAATTATTGGCTTCTTTTTTTTTGGAGTCTATATTTTTTTTAGTGAACAAATTTTGTAATAGAAATTGCTTGCTCAAAAATTATATAAGACTAAAAAAATGCTCTTCGCTAAAAACAATTTAAAGAATAGGCGATTGAATTACCAACTTGGTTTAAAATTTCTGAGTATTAATTTAAGATGAGGGATTCATCCTTCCTCAAACACACTTTAGATTGACACTTAGCAAATATACTATAAAAATAAATATACTAAGAGATTATGTATTTAAAATAAAACATATATTACATTTTTTATATATATATATAAATAAATTTTATAAGTATATTTTTGAAAAAAAAAAAAAGATAGTAAAATTTATAATTTTGCTATACACATAAAATATGTACATGAAGTCATTTTTATAAATTAAAAATTAAAGTTCACGAAATAAAATAACCATCATCTTTCGTATACTTAACGCTATCAAAAGCTTTGGTATTAGCTGAACAAAATTTTTTTAGTACAGATTCTCGAAGACCACAATCACTTAAATTTTGTTGACCAAATAAATGAATTGCATTATCTTCAACTTTTTGACTGGTGGTAAGTTCTAAAAAAATTTGAATTCTTGCATTTAATGGAGTTAAACAAAATAATTGTATGGTCAAAAGATTACCTTTCCTTGACTGTGAAACTAAAGTAAATGGTTTTGTGCTTTCTAAATTAGCAAATGTAGCAGTAAATGTTTTTAATGAGTTTGATAATAAATTGCAAAAATTATGTACTGCATCAGGCATTACAGGTCCTTTTACTTCTATTGAATTATAGCTTTGACCATCAACCTTAACTGTACTTTGTCTTACCTTTAATAATAATATAATTGTATTTAAAACAAAGATCAATATTTGGTTATTTTTTATTTAACTAATAAAAAAAATAATTTTTATAATTATTGATATGATTTGGTCTAAAAAGAAACTTACTTTAAGTGGTGTTAATGTCGCTCCAGTAAAAGCGACAGGAGCTAAAAGTGTTGGTGGAATACCTGCATGCGGTCCTGTATTTGAGATTGAAGAACGACAATTAATTAACCAATTAAAAAGTGCTTGAGCCTCGACACCAGTTACACAAACTAAGGATTCTTTAGTTTGATCAATTTTTCTTTGACGTCCAGAAACCAGTTCATTCTGATATAATATAATATAAAAATATTAATACTTAGTTAAAAGTATGTATTATTAAAAAAATTATAGTTAAAAATTATCACTTGAGAACTTTGTAAACGTTTTATTTCAGATTTTTCAGCTCCCATTGTTTCTAACCATCTTTCAGGTTCTTCATCATCACCACATTTAATAATTTCAGAAGTCTTTCCAATATAAAGTTCATTACCATGTTCATCTTCTTCCAATAATGGCATGGTAAATTCAATGTCTAACATGTGTTAAAAATTATATTCATGAAAATATAGTTTATAATATAACTTTTATAATACCTTCACGTCTTAAGACATCTCTGAGACCTTGAGTAGTAGGATATACTAATGCATTTAGTTCTTCAAATCCACCAATACTAGAAGCTCGAAAAGTACAGGTAAAAGCATTAGCGAGAACATAGAAAAAGGGACACTGGTTAGCTCTAACTAACTATAATACAAAACATTATTAGGGAATAATTTTTTAAATAATGAGGTTTTTTTACTTGAAATAATGATCTAAAACTGTCAATCCAATGATTAAATAGAGATTCTCTAAATATGGGATTAGCATTTACTGATGGAAAATTATTTGAAGAATCTCTTATGGCTGTACGAGGACCTCTATGGATAAGATCTACCCAAGGTAATGAAGGGTGTTGCCATGCCATACAACATTGATGGAAACGACTGTTTGGACTAGTATCAAGAGTATTTTCACTATGTTCTGTATCTAAGCATCTTACAAATCTAAAAATACACAAAACTTTAAATACTCATTTACTATAATCAAAGTTTTTAATTTATATCTATACCCTGTTGTAGCTGATGCTTCTTCACAAGTTTTAATTTTTTGACTCCAAGGAAAAGAATTTGGAGAAAGAAAACGTACTTTAGTACGCAAAGTCCAATCAATTGGTAAATAAGGCTCTCCAGTAATTTCTTCTATAATCTAGAAGTAATAGTTATAGTAAAATTTAATTAAGTTATAAAATGTTTGTGAATATAAACTTACATTCTGATGAATATAATATGAAAATAAAATATAGACTTCACAGAGTGTGTATTATATTATAGATAGACAGTCTTATCTTACAGTATAGTTTTAAAGCATATACTATTAAATCATTAAATACTACACACAATAATAATAAGAATTGCACTGAAAGATTATGGTGGAATAAATACCAAATGGTTTAATTATTTCTCAATTGTTTCAACTACATTCCTATATACAAGTTTCTCAAATCTAACTGACAATGCTTATAATTTTTGATACATTAATCAATTTATTGAAATTAAAAATATATATATATTGTTTTTTTAGACTTTATTTAAATCATATATTTTATTAATATTTTTATTACTAATAAAAAAAAATTTCATTTTATTTTTTTGTTTGATATTATTGAGTTACAAGCATTTTCAAGAATGGTTATGAGCACGAATAGAGTATGAGTTATAAATATACACCTGTACAAGCTATACCCACCTGTGTTACACATACATTCTATGTACTAAAATACTTGTAGCTCGATGAATACTTGTTCTAAAATTGTTAACACCTTGACAAAATTTTAGTAAGAAAGGGCTAAAAATAACAATTTTGAAATATTGGAAAAAAACGATTAGTTTTACATTCTTCTATTTTCTTAACTTAACATGCTACAGAGGGTAGTGCCCATCTTTCACATACTAGGGAGTTAAAGATGATTCTTGATTAGGCTAATAATGGATGGGATAGGTATTAAAGTTGGCTTGCATCAGACACCAGATACCACCAATGAGAAAATCACAAGAAAAATCTCATAAGCACTTTGGGGATTATAGTCAGGACCCTGTGTGCTAAACATAAGTTTTTACTTACTAGGCTACACTGAATTTTAAAAATAAAATTTATTTTTATTAGGATAATCAGCTCATTATGTATATGTATATATTGCAATTTGTTGATTTGAGTTGAATAAACTTTTATTATTATAATTAAAAACTTACATCATCAATAACAGCTACTGGTTTAGTTGTTTGACGCAATACATCTGCAAAAGATATTACACTTTCATCTAAAGTTTGAAATTGTGAACAATTGGAAGTAGTTGGAATAGATTCACATTCCCGTAGAATCTTAGAAAGATTCGAAGAACAAGCATTGTCATCTTCACACTCAAAATGGGATCTTTTCAACGTAATTCTAGAATTTTCTGAATTATTTTTGACTGGTGTCTTGCGTCTTTATAACGAATACATAATTTATTTTATACTTTCATTAGGGTTTTAATTAAATTGAAATACCTGAATGGATTTTTGGCTGGTGATCGCTGGCCAGTTTGATCTGTAAATGCAACGGTAGAAGTTGCATCCATCGATTTTGAAAAGCGAGACTGTAAAGCTCGTTTTTTCATACGAATTCGATGCATTTTCATGACATCTTCGGGACGCTTCCATTTTGGAGGTGTAGAATTATTGTCTAACTGTAACATTTTATTCTAGAATCCCTGTTGAGAATAAATGAACACTAAACAATGAAAATGTTATGGTTCAGAATCGTTCACATGGCATTAACAATCTCAACTCAACTCAATTCATTATTCTTCCAGTTTTTATCAAATGACGGTTGATAAATTTTGATTATGAAGGTTGCCGCCCACATTTTAACTTCGTTATGATAAATAACGTGTCCATGTGACGTTTACTTCCATTGGGTGTGGAGTGCTATATATATTTAATGGTATCATTACTATCAACGTCAATAGTTAACGTTTTTGTTTGAATAAATTATAATTATTATAGTTGATCATTAGGTCCGGATTTTAATACATATATAATTTTCTCAGGGTATCTTAAAAGGTGCTTTCAAAGCACAAAATTCAATTCATGTAAAATAAAAAAAAAATTGTCCAACGAATTATATTCTTTTGGCCGCCGTAATTAAAACATGCCATTGTTGTGTTAAAATTTTTGATTTTATATTTTCAACTTAAATAACTTGGTAGAAAACTTATAGATTATAGAGGAACTTTTTTTAAAAATAAGTGGATAAATTTGTTTTTATAAGTACTAATACGTATTTTTTATTAAAGGAAAAATGGTCTAAATAAAATTTTCACCGTCGTTACCAGTTGAACATCGAATAAAAAATATTAATTTATTTCAAAATAACCAACCATAGAGTTGATTAATAAAAGAAGAAGGTGTAGAAAATGCAACCAATAATTCATTAAATTTCTGATGAGTTTATTTCAAATAAATAATTTTTTGTGCATTATTTTATCAGCAAAAAAAAATTTAAAATGTTTTTAATTAAATTTAAATTTTATACAATTAATTTAAGGTTGTTTAAAAATGTAATAATTTTACAAAATTATTACAACTCTTATGAAAGAAAAATATAGGACAAAGTTTCGTATTTTATTATAGAATATGGTAAAATAAAATTTTATATAATTAGTGTAAGTTTATAGAGTAAATATATAATACTATGTATATTAATTTATAATTAAATAATATATTTTTGCTATATAATTTAATAATATACTTTTCTTCAGCATTTGGATCAAAACATTATATATATATATATATATATAATTTTTCGTTTTCTAATGATTCATGCGATTCTTTTTTCTTTGTCGTTTCTGAGCATGACTTTAATTAGGAATTCGAATTTTTACAATTTTCGAATAAGATGGGTTCAACTAGATTATGTTTGGGTTCTCTTAAAGTGTTAATCATTAAAATCAGTCCAATGAGAGCTGAGAATTTTCATAGACAAATATAAAAAACATCAATGTACAGTAAAACTATTACCTTTTCATCGTAGCTAAAATAACAAATTAATTAATTTTACGCTCAGAATTCAAAATGTGTCAATTAAAGAAAAAGTTTTAATTTAATAACGTTGATATCAGAAATGTCTTATATTAATATAATATCTTAATATTAGGCTTTATGAAAAATGATTAATAATCTTATATAATTTTATGTAAGGAGGTAACAATAACATTTAACTCCCGATATCACTCTACTACTTAATCATTTTCAGTCAGATTTTTTAGTAGTTCTTTCGTTTTTAATTTTACCTCATTAACCATTTAAAAATGGGTTCCTTTTAATGATCTTAAAATATTTTGGGAATAAAAGAAAGCCACAAGGAGTCAGTTTGGTGAGTGGGGGTGATAGCTATACTAGGTATTTTAAAATACAAAATTTAAATAATAAAATTTAACTTAGTTTTTTTTATTCAAGTGTAATGGTAGTTTTAAAAATGTTTTAAGGATGACAAGCGAGGATTTTGAATGATTAATACATTTAGTAGGACATAAAATATTTAAGGAAGATACACATTTTTAAGGAGCTTTACTAGGAAAACCATTTTATGTTCTAAATTTCATCAGTAACAGCTACAGATTCAATTTTCTTCATTTCACGATAAAACTGACCCTTGCAGTTTTTTAATTTTGTTTTTTTATGTGGCCAAAATTTTCGATATCTCACACCAAGCATCATTTTTTTTAAATTTGATTTTCTATTCGACAGATATTGTATCCCATAGAACTTTTTTTCCGTAGTATAAATCAATATATTGATCACTCCACAGTTAAATAGCAAAAATAAAAATAAATTAAATAGTGGAATTGCATTAAAGTGAATAGTGTGCAAAATGAATTCATAAAATTGTTTACAAATTATGTCACAAAATTAAACCAGTTTGTATGTTTTAGATACATTTTTGTTAACAAAGTATACAAACTTTTATTGATGTTTACGGTATCTAGCAGGGAAACAAGATTTCGTTGGTTACAATGTTTATGACATTGTTGGAGACAAAATTTGAAGAACATTTAAGATTTTTGGTTGATGACAATGTCGTTAACTTTTGTTTTAAACATAATTTCTTAGGTGTAGACCGACCTTAACATGTTTCCTCAATTTATTTAACAATTCGTCTCTGCTATGTCTCTAATTTTGAATTGATGACTTTGCCGAATAATTTTATCAAAGTTTTCAGTATTATTGTCAGTTGAGACGTTCCAGAACGACTGTCTTTAAAGTCTTCCCTTTCAATAAAAAACCGTTTGTGCCACTCAAAAACACAAGCTCTTGATAAATAATCTTTACCAAAAATTTCACCTAACATGCGGACTGATTTAAGCATGTGTACATCTTTTTAGAAAAGTAAAAGGTATACCATCAGGACCTGTACTAGGAAAGGTGTCTAATGAACATTAGTAATCATAAATTTCACTTGAATCAATATTCCAGGTAATTAAATTATGATTAATCTTTGATGTTGATATAGGAATTTTTTTACACTCATTAAAATTTATCATATCTGATATATACACTAGAAAATAAATTAGTAAATAGTTGAGTTATTTTATTACTTGATATTATATTATACAAGATCTGGTATATTACCATTAGTTTTATTCAATAAATTAACATAATTCCAAAAAAGGTTAATATTAGTTTGTATCATGTTTTCAACATTGAATTTATTTTAATCATAACTACTAATTATTCTTGAGTAGGAAACAATTAAAATTTGGCCAGATTGGAAAATATCAATTTTATTTTTAGAGATAAATAAGCCAACAGTGTGATAAATTACATGAAAACAATTTTTTAATTACTTCTTCAAACGATAAGTTATTACTGAGGTCATAATTTATCCAGGAAATATAAAACCACAAATATTATTGTGTATTGATATATCTACAGTTATCTCAACACTCGTACCAAAAACAATAAAATATTTTATAATAATTATAACTTAGTAGATTTATATCATTTTTACAAAATAATTTTATGATTTGTTCCTTCTGTGCCATGTTATGATTTGAAGTGCAAATCTAAAATTCAAATGTTAATACTTTTGAGATATTTGCATCTTCGCTAACAGAATAAAAAGTCTTTCTATTATTTTAGTCATCATTTTTGTCATTTTAAATTCAAGTTTCTTTTTTCGGATTAGTAAATTTTTGATTACTAATTTTGTATACTTGAGACATATTTATTGAAATATTGATCTTTCTATTTTTTATATTAGATTTATAAAGAATTGATGTGATGTTTATTTAAAAATTTTAAATTAATTAAACAAATTTTAAATCTCTCTAATTAAATAACTCTTTTAGACAATTTATTTGAGAGTTTACATAATATTCAAAATAATTAATATCTACGTAATCTGACGTCAACGGCTCAGTAATTGAGAAGTATATTAATAGAAAAAATTAATATTTATGAGATAAAATTTCTAATTGGTCTTAAATATCAGGTTGGATGGCTTATTATTTTTGTGAAAATAAATGTGTTAACATGATGTTCGTACAAATCAAATACGAGTAAAGAATATTTGTGGGGATTATGTATTAAATTTAGTCAAACAAAGCATATAGGGTTACAAAATAAACATTCTTACAAATATTATTGAATAAGATCTAGAGAGGGAGAGTAAGACACGGGAAGAAACGAAACTAGTGAAATCGGAAGTAGGTATATCAAGTCTGTAGCTCGTTTTGTCCAAAGCATTTTATAACGTCCAGTTCAACTAGTGCAGCGCTCAGTGTTTTCGTATTCATTATTCTAATAATTTGACCGAAGTAGTAAGAATAATATTTAAAAAAATAAGTGTCTATAATACCACACATTTAAATAATTAAAAAAAAAAAATCAATTTCGTTCTATTTTCAGTCGATACGGTAAGATGGTTATTTTTTTTATATAAATTCATAGTTTTAAATAGTAATTTTTCTTTACGGTTTGTTGTATTTTCGGTTCTTGTAAATATGGTATTTATATATTATATTGCAACTTGATATTTTTCTTAAACAATTTTAATATAAAAACGATAGAAGAGATTAACAAACGAAGAATAGTATATTTAAAGTTTTTATTATTATTATTTGCACTTTTAATGAACTTGGGGCACATTTTGTTTAATTTATTTTTAAATTTAAGAAACTTTGTTGTTTAGATTATTTATATTATATTTAATATATAATAAGTAAAATTTGCATGTATTGTAAGTTGAACTCTCATAAGATAAAAAATTGAATAT